AAACTGAGCTAAAAGCTCTTCCTTTAGAAACTCTGAACCACAAGCCAGTCTGAAATCTGGCAGCAAATTTTCATACTTAAAATCTTCCCATTAATATTTCAAAAAATTGATTTTTACTTATAGTTTTAATCTTTTATTATAAAACTTTTTTGTTATCTTATTTATTTGTTTTTACGCTAACAGAAATGGGCCTGCAGTAGTACAACAATGAGGGAAATCTGTCATTTATCCAGATAAAGGATATTCGGCTGTTCTTGTTCCAGACACAAGCGGCAGGCCGACCACATAACCTGGATTTCCGCTGTAGTGGACATTCACGTCCCCCCCATCTGCCTGTTTAGGAGGCACAAAACACAGAGCGTTACTCAGATTTAGTGAATGGTCAAGGAGTAACATGTTTTCCAAAATTACTAAACACTTCTTGCAGTCTTTCTCAGAAGGAAGAAATGTAGAGCAATTAAAACTAACGAATCTGTGAAACCAACAAATCCCCTCATTCTAAGAGCACCTGATTTGATCTCTACCAGTGAATAGCTGCAGAAGTACACAACACAGAGACAGAAGACAAGCTGGCAATCATTCCAAAGTAACACAACTACAAGCTGTGTTGAACCTATTTACTGTCACATTCAGTGGTGAATGTTCACATTAAAATGCTCAAAGTTTCAGATCATTAGGACATGTACAGGTAAACTCAAACATCCCACTTTTATCCTTAACATCATCACCTCATGTACACAATTCTGGCGAAGCAGCCTCACCCACACGCTACTTAAATAAGCACATTTTAGCCTGTTTTTGTGAGGGGGTAAAACATTTGTGACTGATTGTTCCAAAATAAAAATCAGACTTTACGATTTCCCCACGCAGAGATAAAAACATCACACATAGATAGGTTTGTTTGAACATACTACCTGGATGTACGTGACCTGAAACTCCTGTTCCAAACGCAGCACAGCTTCAGTTACAAATCCAAGCACCACAGACACCGTTGCATTTTCTATCTTACCCTGTGGGTTGTACTTTATCACATAGACAACCTGAGGAGACATAATCTTCTAATTACACACTTTCAATTAACTTATTTTTGCATATAACTATTAAATAGGGAGAAGTGTTGGGGTGGTTAACAAATAAAGACGTAGTATTGCTTAGATTGCTTCATTTAGATGTAAGGGAATGGCACCAGACATGGAAATACAATTAGATGCACGCGTCACTGGAAAAGCGTGAGATGTTTCCCTTTTGGAAAGCTGATTGTGTTTTTGGGGACAGCTATGAGACAGCACCATTGTCCCAGAGACGTCTATGCAGGATTCTTAGAGTGCCATCACTTTCCCTTAAATAACATCTGTGGATAAACTGAGGATACTGATTTATATGACAGTGGCAATTAGACTTGTTCTTGTTTTTGTTTTTTTTAAATATGATTTTGTGTCATATATTAGCTAACATTGGCACTGACAATTCAAGGTGGATGAATTGCCTCAATGTACTTTCACGTCCCACCTCCAAATATAACTGACAACACAGGCATGTCTGGGTGTGTCCAGACTTTTGCATCTCTCTGAAATGCCTGCGTGCCTGTGTGTTCGTGTGGAGTAAATGGCCTGTATTTGTATAGCGCTTCACTAGTCCCTAAGGACCCCAAAGCGCTTTACACAACCAGTCATCCACCCATTCACACACCCATCCACACACTGGTGATGGCAGCTACATTGTAGCCACAGCCACCCTGGGGCGCACTGAGAGAGGCGAGGCTACACGGACTCGTGATAATCATCATCCAGAAAAGAGAAAACAGGAAGAGGATATTTCTGACTATTGCACACAATTTTAAACCGGAGTGTAACGTGGTCACACCTGTAGACTTTACTTTTCAGAAAAAAAATCTTCTGTGTTTGTGGAGAGCACAGCAAAGACGTCAACACAGACAGGTGTGATATTTTCTACAGGAGTGGATGACTCAGTGGAACAACAGGTCTAATTAAAAAACAAACTAAATGTCATAAATTAACAACATTACAGGATGTATCACTGTATAATATATTTATTATACTATGTTATGTAACTCAATCAACATTGTATGCTAATGGATGTCAAATATGTATGTATATAAACTCCAGTGTGTGTGACTCACCTTCAGCACCACATTTCCACAGAGGGTGGGGTTGATGAGAACAGGACTGACGTTTTCTCCACCTGTGATCTTCAGCTCAGTCTGAGTGTGATCTGCAGACTGTAGGATGACTGAAGACACCACCACAGGAACAACCTCCAGCAACAGCAGGGACTCATCTCAGTTTGTTCACACTTTTTATAACTGTGTTTCTGAACTTCTGACACATTAAAACTACTGCACTACAATACAGAATGTGCCAGCGGCTGTCTAACATCATAACATTTGTAAACAGCACACCATGCTGCAAATACTGCTCAGTAAATAGTAAAATCTAAAACACAACTGTTTTCTCAATGTTAATGTGAAAATAAGTGATTGCTAGTTGCTCTTTAGGAACTGAGCAGAAAGTTGTGCCACTGTTCCTGTTACTGCGTTGCAGCATTTAACCTCAAGTTTGTTTGTGCGTGTTGTGCAACTTACAACATGTAGCAACATCAAAGGAGACACAATCAGGAGAAGCTGTCAGCTGTCTGTGTCTTACTAAATGTCCTGGTCTACCTAAAGGTGTTTGGCAAGATTCTGAACATAGATTTGATCACCTGGTTATTTTATGCATTACATACCACCATGAGTTTATCTGAGCCAGGTTTTATATTAATATGACTGAGTTGGTGCATTAAAGGATGTTAGTGGGCATCAAAACCAAATTTAGCGGTGTACAGTCATGGTTAAAATAAATAAATTATACTGTATTGATTATGTATTTAACAAAAATGAAGACATTTTGCTCGTCCAGAGGATTAAGCTGATTGTTAACACGATGATAAGGAGAAAAAAAAAATCATTCTGGGACGTGTTATGAAGGCAAAACAATCGAAAATTGAAATATTTGTCACAGGAGGAAACATTCAAGATACTGGATGCCCCAACAAATTCACCACAAGGTCAGAACCTGCAATGCTCACAGAAATTCAAGAGCTGCAGTGCTATGAAAAAAATTGTTATATTTATTATTTGTCATGTTTCAGATCATGAAATGAAATGTATTATTTTTTGGTTTTTGCTAAATTCATCTTATATTGTATTTACCTCATTTTAAACTTGATAAAGTTTTTTATAAAGTCAATCTGTAGTCTTAGAAGTTGCATAGGGTATATTTTATACCATGACTGTAGCTTTGATGGAAGCGGCTGGAAATTAGGTGCAATGGTAGCATCAAAAAGTATAAAGGAATCTAAATCTTCACAACACAGAGAATCTTTCTACAGCTAAAAACGACTTTGTTTGCTTAATCAACTAATCTTGCAAATACATATGTACACAAACACAAATGTTTAAAACTCAGAGCCACTGACACAAGCAAGTAAAAGATACGTGAATGTGTCAAAGTGGCCACTTTCTCATTACTTTCATATATTGTTTTAGTAAGTATCCAAAACATACAAGTTTCATTATATAATTTTTCAAGGGATCTTATATCTGTTTTCACTCTTGTGTGCTTTTCATACAAGTTTCACACAGACAGATACAAACTTTATAAGATTTATATATATATATCTTTTCCATATGGGAATTCTGTGTGTATCTCTTTTTTTTGTTGCTTCAATTTAATAAAAATATCTCTGAGAAAATTATTACAAATGCACAAAGCTAATGTATACAGGTTCTGTTTTGTCAGATTAACTGTTTATAACATCTACACTGTTTTTATCTCATCTTGTTAACTTGGATTTCTTTTCAACTTATCAGTTAACTGATAAATTCGTTAGTATGTTTAACTCTGATAAACACACTAGCTGTTTCAGAGTTAAACAAATAGAGAAAGGTCAGGATACTTACAGCTGCATCTGTGCTCATATCCTGTCAAGCACAAAACATTTCACTTTAAACCTTTTAATTAATGATCTATATTCAAACTATATATAGTTAAGGAACACAAAACAGGTGTGCATGCTGTTCATTAGTTAATTATAATAATTCAAATTCAATGACATTATAATTCCTGGGCTTATAGTGAACTTCACTTCAACAACACACTGTATTAAAGAGTGGATTTTTAAGAGCCAACCAGTGTGTAGCTCAGTAAATGTGAGACTCACACTAAACAGCTGGGTGTCAGTGTAGCTGTCCATGCTGAGGGCTGGCAGACGGCCGCAGTCCTGATCCAGGACCACGCGACGGGAGCACAGACTGCTTTGATCCTTCAGGAAAGCTGCAAACAAACCAGGAAAGCTAAAACAACATCGTTCATACTGATGAAAAAGCCTCTCATCCTTTTCATAAAGCTTTACAGGATGTCTACAAAGAAACTGCTGTTCAATAAGAAAGTGACAGTAAATATGCAAACTCTGGGCATAAGTAAAGACTGACACAGAAAGAGAATGGCTACATAGTGTAGTGGTTAACACATTCATTTTTCAGCCAGAGACACAAATCCCGTTTGAGGTTGCATCTCTGCCAAATGAAAACCATGCATGATCTGTCCAGTTAAGGAGCAGAGAGTTGCTGTTAA